AAGTTTAGGGAGTCTTTTTTTTTTCAGGCCAAAGTTTGAGAAGACAAAGAGTTATTCGGTACAGTCGGGGCGTTCGATTCCTGCAGCTGACCTAATCTGGGGAGGGGGGGGGGGCAGAGACGGACCTGAGCTGACAGACTGACCGGGCCGAGGTGCTCGGAGTTACCTGCGACGACCGTAGGAGAACTGGAGAATCGACGGTTTTGAAAACTAAAAATCAAAGTCTTGGACCACCTGTGGCTCAACCTAGGGTTCACCCCCCACATGGCCCCTCCAACCGCATGAAAAACAGACCTTTTCCTGCTGTTATCAGTTTGTGTGTGTGGTGTAGAATCACACGCTGTTTTGTTTTGGTTGTTTTTTTCAACAGTAAAGAAAAATGACTGAACAAATCCTAAGCCCCGCCCACATTCCCCTCTGTAACACTGACTTCCTGTTAATATGGTTTTCCATGTGGCCCCGATGAAGTGGCAGGTAGTTTAACACCACCCTCTACAGACAGATTGAAATCAGATCAGATTAGATTAGACTGGATTAGATTAGATTGGATTAGATCAAATCAGATTAGATTAGACTGGTTTAGAAAAAACAAGACTAGACTAGATTGGACCAGATTCAGTTCAATTCATTTGGATCGTCTTAGATTAGGAAAGTCTAGACTAGATGAGATTAGATGAGATTAGATTAGATTAGATCAGAGACTAGAGAAGACTAGATTAGATTCAATTGGATTCTGTTAGATTAGGAAAGACTAGACTAGATGGGATTAGGTTAGATTAGATTAGATTACATTAGATTAAATTAGATTAGATTAGACTAGACTAGACTAGACTAAACTAGATTAGATTAGATTAGATTAGATCAGATCAGATAAGATCAGATCAGATCAGATCAGATTAGATTAGATTAGAGACTAGATAAGACTAGATCAGAGCAGATTCAATTGGATTCTGTTAGATTAGGAAAGACTAGACTAAATGGGATTAGATTAGATTAGATTAGACTGGATTAGGAAAGACAAGAGAAGACTAGATTAGATCAGATTTGGTTCAATTTATTTGGATCGTTTTAGATTAGGAAAGTTAGAAAGTTAGATTAGATTAGATTAGATCAGATATAATTAGATTAGATTAGATTAGATTAGAGACTAGAGAAGACTAGATTAAATTCAATTGGGCTCTGTTAGATTAGGAAAGACTAGACTAGATGGGATTAGATGGGATTATATTATATTATATTATATTAGATTAGATTAGATTAGATTAGAGACTAGAGAAGACTAGATTAAATTCAATTGGGTTCTGTTAGATTAGGAAAGACTAGACTAGATGGGATTAGATGGGATTATATTATATTATATTATATTAGATTAGATTAGATTAGATTAGATAAAACTGGATTAGGAAAGACAAGACTAGACTAGACCTGACCAGATTCAGTTTGATTTATTTGGACCATTTTAGATTAGGAAAGTCTAGACTAGATGAGATTAGATTAGATTAGGATTTTAATTAGGGTCAGTTTAGATTAGATATTGGACCTGTAACAGTTTAGGTTGGGTTAGAGGGTATATACATGTCTTTTTGAAGTCTGTGTGTGTGTGTGTGTGTGTATGTGTGTGAGTGTGTGTGTCTCTGAATGGTCTCTGAAGTGTCGTGATCTGACCACTGTCCTGTGGGATTATCTGTTGTTTTAGCTTCTGGTCTGACCTCTGACACACACACACTCTCACACACACACAATAGAAGGGTGGTCTTAGTGGCAGTCAGGTCTCCGGGACAACACAGTGACAAAGGGGATGTGGCGGGGGGAATGTGACACAAGTAGGAGAGGGTAAGGGGTCACCCCCCCTCACCCTCCCTCACCCTCCCTACCCCCGCCCCTTCCCTTTTTTTTTTTTCTTCCAGGAGCTGATGGGAGATGAGGGTGAGGTCAAGGTTGACCCCACACTGGTCATATGGGCTACGAAGGCCACCGGCCATGAAGGAGGACGAGGACGAGGCGAGGAGGAGCGGGGGGATGAAAGCTGTGACGCTGTGACGCCCCGGTCACCTCGGCTGACCCTCCGCTCTTTGGTGCGGTCACTTTCCCAACACTTCTGATTGATGAGCGATTCCTTTTCCCACCGCAAATTATTTGGCAGCGGAGACGGAGGAGCCCCAGCTGCCGAGCTCGGCGCTCTTTATTGAAGGTATTATGGCCGTGTCTGTGGTGGGGGAGGTGGGGGGGTAGAGGGGGAGGTAGGGAGGGAGGCGTGCTATAAAAAAAGGTAATCGAACGGCGTTCGGATGAGGGTAGTATGGCCGTGTGTGGGGGGGGGGGGGTGGGGGGGTAGAGGGGGAGGTAGGGAGGGAGGCGTGCTATAAAAAAAGGTAATCGAACGGCGTTCGGATTTGACCATCTTTTGTTTTTTTAATCAGCGTCAGGATGACAAAGAGGCGCGAGAAACGTCAGGTGAGTCTGGATCTGAAACATCTGAACCACCTGAACCCCCCCTTCCCCTCCTCCCCAACAGGAGCCAGAAACATCGTCGGACAGACGGCGTAGCTTAAAATAATCGAAGCAGGTGATTGGCCGGTAGAAGACGATGAAGTCAGAGCTGCAGCTGGGACTGAAACACTGACGCAGTGGTGTGTGTGTGTGTGTGTGTGTGTGTGTTTGAAGGCCAAACATGGCTGGCCCCCCCCCCCCCCCC